CAATGCGGAATGCCTTCACTATACCCAATGATCTGCGGGCCTTCTAGGTATCAACGCTTCCGACTTTTGCATATGGTCCACGAAGGATGGGATAGCTGGTGGCTACGGAGCCTCTGCCATGGCAATGAGGTTAGACTCGTAGGAAGCCGCAATAGCAGGCATCTTTAACACATTTGCGTCAGCGACGGGTTGACTTGGATTCCCTTGCCCTGCGGGCAGCAATCAAAGCCGGCAGTGAAGCTACAGACAAGCGATCTGTCATGGCACCTCCTGACCTTTTTACCCACCACAGCAGCGGACCCAACAGCGTAAGACAGATCAGGCAGCTGGAAGAAAAGCTTGCAGAGACGCAAGCCGCCTTGGCGCCAAAACAGGCTGCCAACCAAGCCGCTGCGCTGAGCAAATCGGACACAGGCATTCGCCGCAACATCGGCGATCCACCACATGTGAAGCCTGCGGCGCACGTTCACGTCAATGGCAGCCAAGCGTGTGCAAGAGTGTAAGAATCTTCTTCGCTGTTTCCGGCAACTCTTGGCAGGCGCTTTGAAGCTCGTCAGGCGGTATACCTCCGGTTTTGCACACTCCCGGCCTGCCAAGGTAAGATGTACGTTGGAGCCACGCAATCTTGTCGAGAGAGCAACCCAGATTCTGGAAACATTTTGGTTGTTTTTTCATTACAGCTGCGCTCCTCTATGCGTCGGCGTTGCTCAGGAACAATTCCTGCCCACGGAGGCCACTCATATTCAAATGGTTCATCCGAAACTGAACTATCCTTTCATCAGCAAGATTTCCACCCCCTCGAAGGGACTTCTTTGTAGCAGCAATGTGGGCAGCTCCACCAATGGCATGTCTTCGGTGTGGAAGAAGCACCGTCGACGTCAACTGCAGTGGAAGCTGAACACGGTGTTTCACACCCCTCAGCTGTCCTCCAAGGTAAACATCTGGCAGCTGATTTGCGTCCTGGCGTCCAACCAAGAGCGAAGATTTCAAGCAGAGAAAGTCATTCGCGGCCGGGACTTCACCTAGGCGGCTAGATGTTTGCTGTGGCGTATTTCGCGCAATTTGAACCATTGAATTCGTTTGCAATCTCTGCCATGCGCAGGGCCATGGTCTTTACAAGAGACCTCCTTCCCCGGCCAGCCGGGCCGTTGCAGTCACCATTCCTAGCTGACCTCATGGGATGCAAGGCGATCATTCAACAGCATATGAGAAGCTACATTCGGGAACACATTCAGGGGATTAAACATCCGATGGTTAACACAGTGTTGTTTAATTGGAGGAAGGCTAGGTCCAGGTGGGCGGCCAGACAGATGCCGGTCTGCCACTGTGCCAAACTTGCCAAGCTGATGCAACAAGAATGGGACGGCTGCAATCATTTAGCCGTGTCAGGTATGGAACTTGCATCCATGGGAGAACTGATCGCTGGCTCCATGAAGAATGCATTTTTTCTGGGCGAGCGCAGATGCAGACCAGTTTCAAAGCAGGCTGGCGGATGTGGGCTGCACGCAGCTGTTTGCCGCGACCTTCCGACTTGCCACTGTTTTCTCTGAATGCTGGCAAGTACATGTTGCCATGCGTGGCCAGTATCTGTCGGGCAAATATTGCAGGTGTTGAAAGAATTCTTCAAGGCGTGATCATACATTGCGAAGATCACCACCCCAACCGCTGTGTGGTGTTCTGCAAGGTCCTTTACTTTGCAATGTTGGATGGCACCTTCAGAAATTCGACAATTTTCGCGAATTGGCGGCTCCTATTCATGATGTTCAGGCCCAGATACAGCAATCTATTCGACAACGGTTTCGTGCCACATACGAGCGGGCATGCCGAGCTGACGGAAAGGCAGCGCAAGGGTACATTCTTGCCAAGCGCAAGAAGCAGTGGGCAACAGGGCGACCCATTGTTTCATTCGCGGGTGGTTTTTTTCCGACCAGTGCTGGAAGCAGCTGCGCAGGTCATCCACAGCGTTCTAGAGACAATGTGCCCACAGGTTTTTGCCAAAAACCAATGTTTGTACGCTTCTCTGCCTTCAAACAGGGCAAATTCTTGTGCACAACCACAGTGCTCCACCAGAAAGATTTGGCGGCATGGCACATCGTTTGGAAAAGGTATCAGAACAGGAACCCCGATGCTTCTCACACTCACTTCTCGGTTTCTGCCAAAGCACAAGATCAAAGCCTCCGAGTTTGGAGAGGCAAGAGAAGACGAAAAGCCAACCTGGAGCGATCCATTCAAATACAAGACATTCCTGATATCATTGCCTGCAGCTTTTCGGTGGGTGGGGCCACGTTTCAACAGGTGCGTGGTACACCCAAGGGCTCGCCTTTGAGCCCAGCGTTGCGCGCGCTGGTAGTCGGGGTTTCGGAGCAGCTTTGGTGTGACACCCACGCTTCGCTGTCGGGGTTGTTTTCTGAACATGGTTGATATTGGCCACGCAAGCTTCAGCCGAGCAAGTGCGGAAAGACCTCCTGCTTTTAAGGCGGTTTTATCTTGAGCAAGGGTATCCCGCAGAGTGGTTGCCTGTGACCAAGAAAATTCGGGCTGCAACACCGCACGTGCACCAGCAGCGTGCAGAGTAACAGAGCTTTCTTCTCGCAAAGGCCAAAAGGAAGCCAACTGAATCAAACGTGATGTAGCAGCATACATGCGCAACTCAACTGTCGCACTAAGGTCTCCACTGGGGATCAGGCCCCTAGATGATGTTGCTGATGCTGCTGCTTGTTGTTGCTTGCCTGCTTGCCTGCCTGTCGCACTAAGGTCGCCGCAGGGGATGAGGCCCCATTATGATGATGAGATGATGTTGACCGTGATGTTTTGTGACTGTTGCTTGCGTGCCGTTTTCTGTTTTGTGTTTTGACAGTGTTTTGGTTTTCTGTTTGACGCCATTCAATAGTGGCAGAATGCCGGGCCAACGCCCAGATGCACTTTGACCCACCCGGCTTCCCAAACCAATTCAAGCGAGGTTGTTTCGGGAAATTGTAAAAATGCCCATCGCGCCCTGTGAAACATGCTGGGATGCTGAAGACGGCCCAGCCATGGAAAATAGTGGTCTGCGCGTCGCATGAGGCGCGCGGTGAGGGGAAATCCAGTTGGCTTGTCCAAGGGGCGCAGTCCACTATTCGCAGCTTAGAGTAGAGCCAGCAGCAGGCCTGAAGGCTCAGCAGAGTGGTTTGGACCTTTTTTTGGGAATGTGCCGAACGTAGACAGCCGAGCGAATTTTATAGCAGGGGGCCCATGGGTCTGTTTCCTGGCATGGGCCAACGAAGCTCCAGGATTCAGTCTAGGATATCAGCACTGGACGCAGTGCTGACGCATGACGCACCTGCATTCAAGTGTTATCAACAATGTTGCCTTTGAGGCTACCTCATCGACATCCTGCCGGATTGTGGAGGTTGTGTTGGACCGCTGGTTCCTGTTCGGCTCTGTTTTCCGGAGCTGTTGCTTCTTTTTTCGGTGTCGATGTTCTGGGAGCTGTTGCTTTGTTTTGGTGTCGATGTGTGTGATCCTCTGCAGCGCATGCGGATCTCCATGTGCAAGTGTTCCATGTGCAAGTGTTTCATGCTGACGACACAAGTGTGTGTGTGTGTGCTCTGCGCTCGGATGAAACGCGACATGAAGCTTCCTGGACTTCCCAGCGCTCTCACCCCTTGGGCTTCAAGGCTGGCCGATGCCACAAAAAATCTGGGTCTCGGCATGTTGCTGAAGTGGGTAGGCAGTTTTTGGTTAGCCTTGAAGCGTTGCTCTTCTTTGCTGCTAATGTTGTTTGAGGGACCGGGAGTGGGGCTTACTGCGGCTTGCTGAAATTGAAACGCAAAACATGGAGCACCACTATGGACGGGCCGAAAAGGACACAACCTGAGCTCTGAGGGCTGGGCCTTGCCGCTTTCCTGGCTGAGTACTCTTCGAATTCATAATCAACAATTCTCGATCGAACGAATCATGACGCATCAGGAATCTTGATTTGAAGGGGCTGGCCCGTGAAAATCAAATTATGTTCACAGTCAGCACAGCTGGCAATTGCTGTTGTTTTTATTGCACAGTTGCGCAAAGTGAATCCAACGACGTCAGCAGACTCTAAAAGAAACTGGTCCACTGCCACGCGCCTCAGTAGCAGAAAGCATCAGAAAAGAAGCCAGCAGTGAAGGTCTCACCTAATCAGGGTAAGTAAGCAGCGCGTTTCCACATGCGTCCTTACCCGGGCAAGACTGCTCTGGTACAAGTAAGTCCCAGCAACATCGCCGTGTTGAGAGCCATGATTTGCTGTCACATGCCAAGCTTGGGAAAACCGTCAAAATCCAGCCTTGCCAAGTGGTGACAAGCTGTCAGGAGTTCTCACATGCTCAGAGCAAGCTGGAGCTGCATTCAATTGCAGCTGGAGACAGAGCTTCCCACCTCCATGCACAGAGACATCGTCTGCCTGCAATGCAGCAGGGTCACAACCTTGGCAACCTGAAACGGTTCTGATATGTTGTGATGCACTTCGGAAAGCCATTACTGCAACCCATGCTCTCAGCAGCAACATGCCTGAAGCTGTTTTTCTGCTGGCTGCCATCTATCCTTGGAGCAAGAAGCATCATTCCGGAAACGGTTCGCTCGTGTTCAATCTGAAAAAGCCTAGCCCGCTTCCGCGGTGCAAATCTGAAGGGGATGCTTCGGAAGGATTTTCACAGGGACTAAGCTCCCCAGCGCCAAGCACAGGCACAGCGAGCGCTGACAGGCATGGTCTGACCCAAACCCGTGCTGAGCTGGTGTCGGTTGTTGGCTCATCTGCTCAACGCAACACAATCGAAAGCGATCGAAAGGTAGATTGTGGCCAACGTCGACTATGAAGCTTAACGTTTGCCACAAGCTGGAGGTGACGAGCGAGGCTCAAAATGATCTCTGCTCCTTGTGTCAAACCCTTGACGAAGTCGACAGCTGCTAACATGGCTGCAGACAAAGCCCAAAGCCCTCCAAACGAAATCTGGTGCTACACCACGCATGCCAGCCAGAACCGGCTGGTCCTGAAAGGCATCGGTGCCCATGGCGCCCGTGGGCACCTGACCTGAGAAGATAACCATGGGCACGCCATCTGTCAGTGCGTCCTGAGCGGAATGGCTGCGTCAATGCCAGAGATCGTCATCAATGGCGCGACGCGCCTACGTGACTCAAACTTTCGTAGTGCGCCATCTGCCCCCTGCCTGCATTGGGGTTACCAGGTTTGTCAGGCCTGGCCCGCTCGTCACGATGGCCTCGAATCAGCGGCCAGCAAGTTTGTAGTAGTCGGCGGTCGTGGTAGTGGTAGTGGTAGTGGTAGTGGTAGTGGTAGTAGTAGTAGTAGCAGTAGTAGCAGTAGTAGTAGTAGTAGTAGTACGTAGTCGTAGTACTTGCAGCGGTACTGGTAGTAGTGATGGTGGCGCAGCAGCAGCAGCTGTAGTAGCAGAAGTAGTAGCAGAAGTAGTAGCAGTAATAGTAGTAGTAGCAGTAGTGGCTGCAGTAGCAGTAGTAGTAGTAGTAGGAGTAGAAGTAGCAAGAAAAGTAGTAGTAGTGCTAGTAATAGTACTACTACTGGTGGTAGTAATAGTAGTAGTAGTAGTAGTCGTCGTAGCGGTAGCAGTGGCAGAAGAAGTAGTAGTAGTAGCAGAAGTAGTAGTAGTAGTAGTAGTAGTAGCAGAAGTAGTAGTAGTAGCAGCAGCAGCAGCAGAAGCTGTAGTAGCAGTAGTAGTAGTAGTAGTAGTAGCAATAGTAGTAGTAGTAGTAGTAGTAGTAGCAGCAGAAGTAGAAGAAGTAGTAGCAGCAGCAGCTGTATCGCAGTAGTGGTAGTAGCAAGAGTAGTAGTAGTAGTAGTAGTAGTAGTAGTAGTAGTAGTAGTAGTAGAGTAGTAGCAGAAGTAGTAGTAGCAGAAGCAGAAGCAGCAGCAGCTGCTGTAGTAGCAGTAGTAGTAGTAGCAATAGTAATAGTAGCAGTAGTAGTAGTAGTTGCTGAAGTAGTAGTGGTAGTAGCAGCAGCAGCTGTAGTTGCGTACTAGTAGTAGTAGCAATAATACTAGTAGTAGTAGTAGTAGTAGTAGCAATAGTAGTAGCAGTAGTAGTAGTAGCAGAAGTAGTAGTAGTAGCAGCAGCAGCTGTAGTAGCAGTAGTAGTAGTAGTAGTAGCAGAAGTAGTAGCAATAGTAGCAGCAGCAGCAGCAGCAGCTGTAGTAGCATTTCGCGCCACGCGCAGCACTTGAGCAAGGTCAGGCCCAGATTTCGTGGCAGACACAACGCTTGCGCGTCACAAGATTGTGTGGCAAGCACGGCGTTTTTGCAAGGTCTGGCGGGCGCAGACTGGCAGGCGTAGCACTTTCAGGCAGCACCTTCACAAGGTGGGCACAGACTTTGCGGCATAGGGTTCGCCGGGATCAAGCAATCGTTACAAAACACTCGGACTCTTGCACATCAACCGGCTTGATTTCTATGAAGGGGTGTGTTTCCATGGCTCCCAAGAACCCAAACTCAGAGAAGGTAGAGAAGAAAGCTAACTTGTGTTTTTACTCTCCCATCAATTGACATGAAACCTGACAGGGGGGGGTGCTGGAAAACCATTTTCTTTTAAAGGGGACCTGTCAAGTTCCATATTTATTGGTGGGAGGGTATCATAGGGGATAAACTCAGCAATGGAGTAGCATCAAAGAAGTTAGCAGGAGATGCAACGCCAGCAAAAGAGAAACACTGGAGAGGTTGGCAGGAGATGTTTGCCCTGCCAAGTTTGCCGCCGTTTTAGAAGAAGAACCCTTCACATGCGTCCAGGAAAGAAAGTGTCTGAGTCACTACTTTGATTGATCCTGATTTGTACTTGGTTGATGCGCATGCCCTTCATGGTCGGTGCGCTTCCTGCTGACGCCCCTCCCCAAGAATCCCCCAACCGCGGGCAAGTAGCAGCTGGAGTCAAACAGAAGTGACTGGGAGCCTGGCCACCCCAAACTTGCCAGTGGATTTGGCGTACGCGGCTGCTGAATGCCCACTGCACCTTGCCAAAACGAAGCCATCGATTGTCTCTAAAGGTCGGCCCAATGAAAATGCTAGGACAGCTGCTCTAGCTGAGGAGAGGACTGTTCATGCGAAGATGTGATCCACTTGATGTTCTTGCCGTGAAACGCGTCAATCAGTGGAAGAACGGCGCCTTGGCCAGTTTGCTGGAAAGCGTAGCATGGCAACGAAGCCACTTCCACTTTCTGCACGATCAAAACCTCTTGCAATCACAAGGGTGATAAAATCTGCACTCAATGGCACACATTCCCTGGCTGGAAAACTCACACGCCATGCTTTTGTTGCTGGTGCCGAATCTGGCGGGCGTGCCACCACTGTATCCAAAGACAGTGTCAACGCCGTGCTCCACCAGCATGTTAAAAATCACCTGTCCGCTCAGAGTCCCATAGCCCTGGGATCTGATTTGCACCAAAGGGATCTATGGGGAGCCTCTCTCACTGTGCCCTTGCGCTTCTACGCTTGTGGGCTTGTCAATCAAAGATAAAGGAATGCAACCGTTCAAATGCCCCTACTTGTTGCGATCGACTGGCACATGTTTTCGCCTGATGAAGATCATAGGAAATGCAATTGCTGTTCCGCATGCAGCTTTATGCCTTGCAGCAGCTACGCAAATCACAGGTCGCCTGAAGTCGGCCCGCTCGGCTGGCCCGCAAATGTGCATGGCTGAGGTTCTGATCCAGAGGCTTGACCGGTATAGCCAATTGGAAGTTCGTGATGACTGGTCTTCGAAATGGCTCAGCTTTTCATGGTGGCGAAAGGATGTTCTCAGGCCTCTCCACAAAATCCAGGCCTCTCCACCTGTCATCTCCCGCAGCGATGCCACCTTAGTTGTTGGGGTTCCGAAACTTTTAGGTATGTAGACACTATGCTAGAAACGTACTAGAAAAATAAAAACTTTTGCAGCCCGTGTGTACCATTGACAATGTGCACAACGCTTTTCTACACACACACACACACACACACTTGATATGAGACGGCGAAACTGACAGTGCGCATCCCCATGCAGGCACAGGCTGTTTGAAGGTCTCCGGCAGGGCAATGGAGTTTCGGCTTACTGCATGCTCAAACATCTTTCGTGCCACCGACCATCCTCTTCAGGAACGCCATCGGTAGGTGACACTACTTCATGTTGAGACATCCAGCAAGGTGGCATTCGACTCCAAAAAGAGAAAGGCACGACCGCAAAACCCCTTAGGAACAGGGGGGCCACACACACACACACCCCGCAGGGGGAGACAGAAACAGAACAGCCCGAACCTGAACACTCAGAGAGAACGCCAAGTTCTGAAAGCCGCCTCCATCATAATTCCCGATGGGTGCTTTGGTCGGTTTTTTGAACTCCTCCCTGCGCTCGCCTACTTGCGGCCATTTTGACATGTGGCTTCACTGCCTAAGTTCAGGCGGCCTTCTGATGCTGTTCCTTCACCTTCCTGAGGCGCTCCAGACTCTTCCAGCGCTGCGTGACATCCGCGATGGACCGGTTGAGCTTCTTGGCCAGCGACTTGTACGAGTACTTGGACCGGCTGTCTCCCTTCAAGCTGCAGAGCTGCTGGTCATCTTCTTCTGTCCATGCCCGAGGTACTTCCGGGGGCGTCCCGGGGTTGCCGGCATCGGAGTGAGCATGAGCAGGAGGTTCAGGAAGAGATTCAGGAGAGGAGAACAGTCCAGCGCAAGGAGATCCCGGAGCAGGTGCTGGAGTGCGAGATGCTGGAGGCGCCGGAGGTTCCGGGGAGTTCGTGTTCTTGGAAGATGTAGCGCGGCATCTCTTCCGCTTAGTTCGGCATCGATCAGTGCCCTTCTTGTCCATGATGGAGCGGGGAATATTGGTCTTCTTGATGCTCGGCTGACCAGCATAGGCTGATGCTGAATTCAGTCAATTCAGAGACTCCGACCGACCCTCCGCCACCAGTCGGCTTCCAGTCACTCCAGCTACACGCGGACCACAGGCACAACGCGCTGGCCAACCCCAAGTCGTTGTCCTACGGCATCATCACGGGGGACACCAACAAGGCTATAGACCGGTCTACCTCATCGAATCCAGCATGATCAGGTGCTCGTGGTCGCGATGATTCTGCCAGCGACAGGCCTCGGACATGTTGTTGCCGCAAGCGACCTTGCCCGTCATGGTACCGGCGACTGTGTGCCTCATCAGCCTGATTCAAGGTCTCCTGGATGAGCTGCATCATGTCCGCAGCGTTCTGGGTCATACGGTGGTGAAGTGCTATCATGCGCCCGAGCATGGCGACCGCTCTCCGATATCGGCGAGAAGGCCAACACTTCTTGAACCAGCGAACGAGCTCCGTGATCAACACAAGAGTCAAAAACCCCAGAAACCAAAAAGAAGAAGAAGAACACCCGAACGCAAAAGCCAAAACGAGCCGGACCAGGTCCGGAGAAAGACCGAAAGGACAAAAACGAGCCACAAAGCCAAACATCGAAAAACAGCGACAACCGGCACTTAAACGTTCTTTCTGGTTGGGATCGCCGGAAGATGAAACAGGTGCTGCAGGTCAGCTGACTTGTAGCCGGCGGACAGATAAGTACTGCGGAGCTGATCCAAGACCATCTGTACTGCTCTGGCCGGGTGCGCGTACTTGGTGGCGAGGGCTGACCGTGATCTGGCCCCGGAGAGAAGGGTGGAGAGACTTCCAGCAGTGTGGGGTCGTCTGATCTGCCAGATTTTGGTTGGGGTTTTGTAGTAAATCGCCCGGTCGCCCACATCGATGACGAAGCCGAGGAACTCAGAAGATCCCACCTGTTCCAACACGATGGGGGCGCCGTAAAAGTCAGCTTGAAGCAGAGCCTCCAATGGAGCTGCTGGGTGACCGGAGGCCGGAGACGGGAAGATGACAAATCTGTTGTCCACATATCGCTCCAAAAAGATATTGTGACTGACTAACCATTGTCCGTAGATACGCTGCCAAATAACTTCGTGCCTGGCGACGCAGATGTGGCTGAGAACTGGGCTCAGCTGAGAACCAATCGCCGTCCCGTGGACTTGGCGCAGAATGAGAGTTCCCACCTGGACATACATGCATTGGAAGCTGGATTTGACGATACCCAGGATGTCCTCCACGTAAATGACCCGCGTGGTCGGCGTACGTCCGTAGGATTGCTTGCCCGCAAACACCCGATTGTAGTGGACAGCTGCCTGAGTTTCCACTGAATAGATGAGACCGGGATGCCCTCGCTGGTGCTCTGCTAATAGCTGCTCGACTGCTGCGCACACTTGATCCTGAGGGACACTGTTGAAGAAGCCGACCAAATCGTCATTGTGGAATGCAAGGGTGACTGTATCGTCTGTGTTGTCAAAGTAATGTTTGACGTTCTGCCATATCCTCGGCGTGGGGTGTATCCCCCATGAACACTTCCATGTAACCGCTGCGATCTCGCCGAGGAGGATTGCAACCGCTTTGAAGAGCAAGAGCTGCCGATGTACCACCTTATGGTAGGCTATAATAGTCCGCCCCGATTTCCATTGCTTCTTGCGTTTGAGAAAAACTTTTCCGACCGGGATGGCGGTGGTCTTCTTCCTGTATGCCCATTTGTACCTCTTCTGCAGGTGCCGCGGAATAGCTTCAACAATAAGAGCCCCGGCTTGATCGGGCTTCAGTGGAGTAGCTGCAAATGTGCCGGACTGAAGCCAGGTGTTGTGGAGGCCTTTGAAGTAGAGCTGAGGGCAGAAGAACATGAGGTGGTGGTTGTCGTGATCCTCGTTGTGGCATACAAAATCCTGGCCGAGGTGTCGATGCAGGATGTTGAGTTGGTGCTTGGTAAGGAGCTGATGGGTGGACGCGTGCTGCCGATGTTTCTGAAATTGACTGCGTAGGTGCTCCATGAGAGGTGCGTGGAACTGGTCCAGGGGCAGGCCGTGGTGCAAACACCATTTTCGTAGGCGTTCATGAACTTGCACTTCGTAAACTGAGAGGTCCACATAATACGACGCCAGCGCTGAGGTGTAGTGAACGTGCTGAGGGGTTCCCGGAAACCGGAACTCATCTAATCCCGCGGCCACATGGCCTTGAACGTGAGATAGCCAGGGCTGACGTTTTAACCAGGCTGCGCACTGACACGATGATGGTCCGGGGGATGTCAAGAGGTAGCAGTCCTGAAATGACGAGAAGTTCCACATGACCGTATGGACCCGAGGATGAGGGGTCTCTGCCAACTTCGTACTGGGCAAGTGGAATGGAAGGGCCCAGTTGCGGTGGTCGAGGATGAGACGACGAAGTACTTCCCTGGTGGACCGCTGATAATGTGGATGGGACAGCCACGGTAATCGCATTTACAAATTGATCTTGGGTTGCTGAAGTTGACGGAAATCAAGAACTCTTCGCAGAATGTTCCGAACTCGATGCCGATGAGGCTGTTCCACATTGCCAGACAACCTGTATATAGCATAGATATCCAAGTCTGAATGCCGTCCACTACGAAGTCGTTTTTCCTTCTCCCAGGATTCAATGTGCTCCGAGGTGAGGCGAGCAATGATGGACCAGGCTTGGGTGTTTTTGAGCGCCACTCGATGGAAGTTCCTGCCATAGACAGTGCAGCTCCTCCTGCGCAAACGGAGGAAAAGGCGTTTGCCGAACCTGGACCAGGGCTGTTCTGCAAGAAACCTGGTGGCCGTATAGCCGGTGGAGATGCGCTTGTATCGCCGATAAATATAGGGCCAATTGAGCGACGGCTGATAAATGCTGATCAAGGCATGTTCCTGGGTCCAGGTGACCCTGTGGTCGGGGTCTGTCAGGATGACCCATGTAGCAAACTCGTCATAGTTGTCGAAGTGATGCCACCATCTGAGCGCTGGTTCCGCATTGATGAATTGTCCGTGCTGAATACCCAGTAACTTGGCCCTACGATTGTGTTCTCGACTAGGATAAGTGATGCTGGTGCTTCCAATGTATACGTCCGACTGCGGGTTGACGGAGTGTGGAAGGTCCGGGCGAAGTTCGACTCGCTGCTTCCAGTACACTGCATTGGGCTAGAAGTGGGTGAAGGTGTACATGTTCGGGTGGATACGTAAACGTCGTAGTCGGCGTCTGAGTTCCGTGAGTGCATGCGTGGGACGACCGTAGTGATGAACCATGAGCAGCGTGGACAGTGACTCGGCCCACATAGACAGTTGCTTGTTGACCATCGGCATGTTGAGGATTCTGCGACTTGTGATGATGATCAGATAGAGGACCTGATAATACTGATAGGATGCGTGCACGTCGAGCGAGTCGCCGAGTCTGAGTGCAATAAGCGCCGTGAGGTAGGGAAGGAAATAATTGGTGCCATGCTGCAGGCTCACTGGCCACGATGGCTCGGGAATACCATAGTGTCTGGCTGCACCGTATAGTTCTGACCGTTCATACTTGCCGTAGAGCTGCCAAAGAAACACCGTCTCCGGAGATTGAATGACCGGCATGGCTTAGCCATGCATCGACGCTCGAGCACTGAACGGTTAGTTGGATCAACTTGAAACAGCTTGGAACAACGCCGGCCCGTAACCCCAAGAAACCACAGGAGAACGAAAAAGAAAGAGAAAAGGCCGCTGATGGTTTCAGGGCAAGGTTCAAGCGCGCCGAGCAGCAGGCCTTTTGTGCCAGTCGTGTCACAACGTGCTAACGTCCTTCTTCGTGAGCGCTACAGCCTCTCTTCTCACCTGCCGTACATGTACAGAACCGTGATAAACTGCAAGAGTGCTCGCTTCGATCCCTTGCTCACTAAGGAGATTGTGGCGCCCCACTTGACTGCAATGGTTTTCAGCTGCTCCACCGTGTCCGACGCCAACTCCTGCTTGATGAGATCGAGGTAGGTCGCTTGGTTGGACAGCGTGCGTTCGTGCAGCCATGCCTTGAAGACCTTGTCCGTGAGGCTGGTGGGAAGTGGTACCTGTTGACCTTTGGGATTGCCCTGACGTAGAAGTTCTGAATCTAGTGTGATGTCCGGGGCAGCCTCCGGGGTCTTTCGCTTTGCCGGCCGTCGCTTGGGGGCTGGATCAGCCTCCGGGGATGGAACTGGTAGGGGGGGTCCCTGAGCATCCGAGTTCGCCGCATTGATGTAGAGGGACTGGTCAGAGCGGCCGGGTGTAGGGGTCCAGGACGCGGCATTGGAGGGAGACGAGGATGGCTGCTTCTTGTCCGGTGTAAGAGTGATGCCCTTGTTCTTGTAGCGCTCAAGCTGTTGTTCCAATTCGGCAATTTTGTGGCGAGTGAGGTTCTCCTGCTTGGCGGGCTGCAGCGACTCTATGAGATCCACGATTTTGAGCGCAAGTGGCTCCATAAACTGCATAGCCTCGTTGCGCTTATCCGGCGCATTGTCCGCGTGGAGAGAGCGAGCTGTCCTGTCGATGTCGACCTCCCTGCCTCTCAATGCTTTGAGAATGGATGTCAACAAGACCGCCTCGGCTATCGTCTGAGCCATTACTGGTGTGCTGTATCGCCCGTTTGACAGCGCTCGTAGTGCGTGATCTTCTGCTCCTCCTCGAAGAAGTCGTGTCAATGGAAGATCTAGGATTGCTGTTCCTGCGAGCCCGACCCTTCTGGACCACTGAGTGGGTTGAATGTGACGGTACAGCTGCAGGCCGCGGACTTCCGTCTTGTCGAGGAAGATGTCATCAGATTGGAAGCTGCTGGGGAGCAGCTGCGAATATCGAGGCTGAGTGTACTGCGTTGCATCACCTTGGCCTAGAGGTGCACGAACTGGAGGTTGAACTGGTGGTGCTGGTGGTGGGGGCCGAGGACCTGTCTGCATGTGGGGTGCCCCACCACCATGATAGTTGTAGAACTGACCGGGAGGCTGAGGAGGAAACTGGTGAGCCATATGTGGAGGCCGAAGAGGTTGACCCGGGGTGCTGCTTCCTCTCCGATTGGAGCTCAAATAGACTTCCTGCTGGGACTGCGGTACTGACCATGATGGAAGGTACGAGGATCCCGGATGCGAAGAGGAAGAAGGTGCCGATGTCGCCGGCCACGAATAGTTCCACTGAGAAGCCATCACGAGATGGGGGTTCGTCGGTAACACTTGCCGATTGATTAAATACTAGGGACACGGCACGAATTGTCGAAACGGCAGCCGATTTGCAATCAAACCCAGGGCTTTTGAAACCGGGAAACAGCAGTTGTCACAACGAGTCATCACATTGCGAAAGAACCCGCAATAAGACCAACAAAATAAAGTCGTGCTTGGGTAAGGCTCTAGCATGCACTTTTTGTCGCAAAATATCGTCGGCGGTCGAAGACGGCAGTGTGGCGAAGAATGCTCTTATTCGCAACGAAACATCATTAATTGTCATCGGTTGCAGCAGCTCTTGGTGCAGGTTCACGAGCGGAGGACACCTGTGGGCGGTTTCGCATCGGTAGGCCATGCAAGTCCAACGATCTGGCTTGCTTCTGGAATCACCATCCAACACTTGCCCGACACATAGTGGATGACGTCAGGACGTTCACTGGAATCCAGGGCCTCAATGCAAGCTTGCTCTCCTCCCGATCGAATCGGCTGACAGGTACCGACAGCGCGTCCAAACAGCAGCAATTGGGCCATGTTGAAAGACATACTCCAATTCTGGCTCATCGTGCGGGCAATTTCTTCAGCATCATATTCGGCGTGTCCAGTGATCTTCCAGCCTTGGGCGTAAAAGGCTGGGCACTCCGAGGAGTGCTGCCGGGAAGGATGGATCTGTCGGCTTCGCAGTATGCCTCTAGTGCCGCCGACACTGGATGCGTGAGTCCAGAGCAGCATGGGTCGCGTCTTCGTTGGTTCCTTGAGCCGAACTGTAGCGCCAAGGTAGGGGATGGTCAGCATGAACCAGTGTGGAGTGATCTTATAAAAGTGATGTTCCGGATTGACCTTTGCATAGTTCAGGGTGGAGTGCTGAGACGGTATGCCGGCTGCATTCAAGGTAGCGGCCACATAGCCCATCTGCTCCTGATTGACCGGGATCCCGTCGCGGACGTACGGCGCGGCGAGCACCTGAAGTTCGTTCCTCCACGGGTCGGACTCCGGGTTGGGAAGCAAGATCAGCGGTAGGTGCGCCTGCGGATTTGGGCGTAGTTGCATGCTCCTCGAGGATGACTCCGCATCTGGATGAGCACCTGTGGCCTTTGAGGCTGGAACCGATGGGGCATTGCTTCTGCTGTGCGGAAGTGGAGATCGGTTGCTTCTCGGTCGCCGGGATGAAGCTTTAGTTGCCGTAGGCGCTCGGGATGAGGACTTGGCTGCTGTGGGTGCCGACACGGCGAGAGCCGGTGCTGCCGTGGTTGAATTATCCGATGTTGTGGAGCGAGCTCGACCTCGACGCTGTGGGGGCACTGACTTGGAGTAGGGGGATGTGTTGTGGGAACGTGACCGTTCTCCCTCCGTTGTGTGGCGTGATCTTGCTGATGCAGGCCAGACAGGCAAGGTAGGGATCGATGCCGAGGCGTCACCGGGAGCAAGAGCTGGAACCGAAGGTTTGGTAGCCCTTGAGGCGCTGGACACCGCGCCAGAGATGCTAGAGGTTGGTGTCACAAGCGCACTCCTGCCCGGTGATGCTGTCTGGTGCGCTGGTGATCTAGGTGGCGTAGGGCCCGCAGTGTTCCTGAATGCCTTGGTCATGGGGCCTGCTGAGTTCGACATCGGGCCTGCGTTGGGCCGTGGCATCTGCTGCCTGCAATTGCGAGCCACTGACCAACTGGCGGCGTCATGGATTCATGCCTGATATGTCGGGTAGTCTGGCAGCAGGTCAAATGGGGAAGTCAAACGTGACATAATCTGGGGTGCTGAAACGTCTGGAACATGCCCAAGCCTGCGGTGAATGGTCAACGGCGAAAAGTCAACAGGGGAATTTCCAGAGTCGCGAGCGACAAGGTCCGGTGGTTGTCTGAAGAAGGTGTCGGTACATGGGTCATAACAGGTGCCCGCAAAGGGGATCAAGACACTGACCGAAGCCCGGACGCAGTGCCTAAACACACTTGATATGAGACGGCGAAACTGACAGTGCGCATCCCCATGCAGGCACAGGCTGTTTGAAGGTCTCCGGCAGGGCAATGGAGTTTCGGCTTACTGCATGCTCAAACATCTTTCGTGCCACCGACCATCCTCTTCAGGAACGCCATCGGTAGGTGACACTACTTCATGTTGAGACATCCAGCAAGGTGGCGTTCGACTCCAAAAAGAGAAAGGCACGACCGCAAAACCCCTTAGGAACAGGGGGGCCACACACACACACACACGCACACACATCATTGAAACTTCATTTGCACTGTGTGCTCGCCCTCCGTTCACCGTTGCGCTGCACGTCTTGCAATCCATGCTAACCTAGTGCCCGCAAGCAGTGGGTTCCGTTGCCCTTGCTGCCCGCAGAGCGCATGTTGCCAAGCACTTCTTCGCATGTTGCAAATCTTTCATGAACTGTTTGCACTCTTTCTCTCATGCTTCCTTCCCTCATTCCTGTCCTGCGGAGGATGTCCCCTTCCCCCGGCGAAGCAACTCTTGCGCGTCAATCTTCTTGCGCTTGCTTGCAAGCTACGCGACAACCGATCAAGCGACATGCTGCAGAGAGGGCTGACTCATGCGGTCATCTTGAGTTTCTCTGGCCTGTCTGGCTGCCAGCCGGACATGCTGGGCTCCAATTCCTTGCCTTCTCGAACAACTTTATGCTCAATCAAAACGCCTCTTTTTACAACCAATTTCATGCGGAGTGTGCAGAGCCCTTTTTCCAAACGTGCCGTTGGGCTCCTACGAATCCAAACGGAGCAACCTCCAACTAACAATCCTAAAGCCTAAATTGTGCAAAGTCGCTCCAAACGTCGAAAACTCTACCGTGTGCCTGAGAGCTGAAGCTTCGTTGGCTTCCCAACCTGCGAGTTAGCGGAGAAGCTGAAGCTGTTTGCGCATTTATTGGGGAAAGGTGCAGACAACTTTTGTTCTCCTCTCACTGGCACAATTTCAGGTGGATAATGGGACCGACTCCTAGGCTTTGCTGTTGGACTGCTACTCCACGTCATGAAAGTGATTGCTCAAAAGTCGTTCACGTCGAACATACGACTTGGCTCTGGGACAGCAAAAAGATGTGCATAAGCCTTCTCACGGTTCATCATCCCCCCCTATGGTCATCTTGACTTCTGATTGCATGACACAGGAGCTGCTTCCTGTGGCCTCAGTGGTATAAAATGACCAACACGAATGGAACAACAGCTTGCTATACCCATGCTAAAACACCTATCCTGTGCCTGAGCTTCATGCTGGACATGCAGTCCTTGGCTAAATATAAACTGGAAACCAGAAACTGGAGATCACAGCTGCAATGCTATTGCTGTTCTCACCTGCACGCAACCCAAGCGTGGTGGGACATTTGCTTGAACCCTGGAGCCTGCAAGCATCTCCGGACCTAGATATATGATCTTCAAGCAGCGAACGAAAACACATGACGTGCCGGCCCACACAATGCCCTGCTGGCACCTGGTGTGCGCGATGCCCACCTCAGAAACAGAACCTAGCCAGCCCAACGATGACATGTACGACTCAGGAGTTGCTAGGATATCAGGATTAGAAATCCTAAATGAACGTGTAGAAATGTCTAGAAAGACAGGTTCCCCAGCTGCAAACATGTGGACGAGATTATGGGAATAGTGCCCGCCGGGGGCACAGGGGGGGAATCGAGCCGGATGGCCGGGTGGCCGAAAGGCCGGAAGGCCGGAAGGCTGGAAGGCCGGAACCCCAAACCAAAATCAACCCTAAACCGAACCCCTTACCCTAAACTTACCCTAAACCAACCCTCACACAATTCTAAACCACGCGAAAACAAACCAAAGAAATGTTAAACTTACACAAACCAAACCCTAAACCAAACCTAAACCAACCCTACCTCAGCCCTAAAACCCACCGTGGGCCGACGTTAAACCAAACCAAACACAACCTAAACCACTCCTAAACCAACCCTGCCTAACCCAAAACCAACGACACCCTAAACCAACCCTAAACCGACCCTAAGCCAACTCCAAGCCAAACCCACCAATCCCAAAGCAACCCTAAACCGACCCGAAACCAACCCAAAACCAAACCCACCAAACCTAAAAGCAACCCTTACCTATTCCTACACTGACCCTAAACCAACCCTAAACCATCCTGAACCAACCCTAAAACACACCAAGCTAACCCTAAACCTATCGCAAACGACCCTACACCAACCCTAAACAAAACCTAAAACACACCAACCGCAAACCACTCCTACACCAACCCAAAATCACCCAAAACAACTTCACAGCACCCTAAACTACACTAAGCCAGCCCCAAACCAAACCCGCCAGCCTTAAAGCAAACGAACCGTAAACCAACCCGAAATCAGCCCTAAACCAGCCCTAAACTTACTCTAAAGAAACCCTAAAACACCCTAAACCAACCTTAAACCCACCGCCCCAAACAAACCCTAAACCGAGCCTGAAACAACCCAAAACCAACCCTAAACAGACCCTAAACCACTCAACACCAACCCTACATTGACTCTAAATCAACCCTGAACCAACCCTAAACCCCACTGGTCTAACCCTCAACCAATCGAACACAACCCCAATCCTAGACAAAACCCAACCCTCAACCAAGCCCAAGCCATAAACCACTCCTCAAACTAACCCGAAACAACTTCAATTATCCTAAACTAACCCTAGACCAGCCCCAAACCAAACCAAACCGACCCAATCAACCCTAAACCGACCCTAAACTTACCCTAAACCAACTCTAAAACACACTAAACCAATGCTGACCCACCGGAAAACAAACTAAAAACACGTTAAACTGGGCCGACCCTAAACCAAACCAAAAGCAACCCTAAACCACTCCCAAACCAACCCAACCGAACCCAAAACCAACCGCAAACACCGTAAACCAACCCTAAACCAACCCTCAACCCCAAAGCAACCAACCCCCCAACCCCAAACCAAACCCACCAACCCTAAAAGCAACCCTTGCCTGTTCCTAAAGCAACCCTAAACCAACCTGAGCGAACCCTAAAAAACACCAAGATAACCCTAAACCAAGTAAAAACGACCCTACACCAACCCTCAACAAAACCTAAAACACCACAACCATCCCTATACCAATCAAAACCGACCCTAAACCAACCCTGAACCAAACCCAAAACCCCATGAGCCAACCCTAAACCAACCCTAAGTCAACCCAAATGGACCCGCACCAGATCAAACCTAAACCAACCATAAACCACTCCTACACCAAGCCAAACTAACCCAAAACAACTTCAAAGCACGCCAAACTAACCGTAAACCAACCCTAAACCGAACCTAAACCTACCCTAAAGCAACCCTAAAACACTCTAAACCCGCCGTAAGCCTACCCTAAACCAAACCGAAGCCACCCTACAACAAGCCTGGACAGCCCTAAACAAACCCTAAACCGAGCGTACACCAACCCTAAACTAACCCTAAACCAACTCTCAAACCAGCCCTAAACGAACCCCAAGCCAACCCAAACCCGCCAACCTAAACCGACCAAACCGACCAACCATAAAGCAGCCCTAAACCGAAAACCGACCCCAAACCAACCCGAAACCAAACCCACCAAGCCTAAAAGCAACCCTTACCTATTCCTACACTGACCCTAAACCAACCCTAAACCATCCTGAACCAACCCTAAAACACTACACCAACCCTAAACAAAACCTAAAACACCACAAACCATCCCTATGCCAATCACAACCGACCCTAAACCAACCCTGAACCAAACCCAAAACACCATGAGCCAACCAACCCAAAGTCACCCAAAACAACTTCACAGCACCCTAAACTACACTAAGCCAGCCCCAAACCAAACCCGGCAACCTTAAAGCAAACGAACCGTAAACCAACCCGAAATCAGCCCTAAACCAGCCCTAAACTTACCCTAAAGCAACCCTACAACACCCTAAACCAACCTTATACCCACCGTAAGCCGACCCTAAACCAAACCGAAGCCACCCTACAACAAGCCTGGACAGCCCTAAACAAACCTTAAACCGAGCGTACACCAACCCTAAACTAACCCTAAACGAACTCTCGAACCAGCCCTGAACCAACCCTTACCTTTTCCTAGACCAACCCTACACCGAAAATCAACCCAACCCTCAACCACACTTGTTTAACCCTGAACCAATCGAACACAACCCCAAACCAACCCTAGACAAAAAAAACAAAAAAAAAAACTACCCCAATCAAAACCGACCCTAACCCCCTAAACCAAGCCGAAATACAAGCCAGCCCTAGGCCCTAACATAAGCAACACCTAAACCATCCGTAAACCACTCCTCAAATATATCAAAACAACTTCAAAGATCCTAAACTAACCCTAAACCAACCCCAAACCAAACCCACACTGATCCTAAATCAACCCTAAACCGACCCTAGCCCTAAAACATTCTAAGCCAATTCTAAACCACCCGAAAACAAACTGAAACCATGTTAAACTTACCCGGAAGCACCCCAAACCACACCTAAAACACCCTAAACCACCCCTACCAACCCTAAACCAACCCCTAAACCAACCCCTAAGCCAACTCCAAACCAAACCCACCAACTCCCAAACCGACCCACCAAACACAAAACACACAATTCATCAACCCTAGACCGACCGCAAACCAACCCAAAAAAAGCAACCCCAAAACCAGTCCAGAACCGAACCTAAACCTAAACCGATGGGCTGTGGGCGAAGCCGGAAGACGGTGGTTGGACTGCGCTCGCAGATCGGGCCGGCCGCGGGCGGAAGCCGGAAGCCGGAAGCCGGATACAAAATTTTGATATTGTGCCTGGGTGGGTGCTGGATCAGACGATTTTTGAAGCCTACCCCAAGGCTATGCGAAGCCAGCGCCGAGCTTGCTCGACAAACGGGTTTGATTGTGATGCTGAATCATCCTTTTCACCAGTGCCAGACATGCTCTGTTATGGCCAGCGAGCTCAGCCTTCAGCGCGCCCGATCCTTTTGCCACCCCTTCTCCCGCACAGGCCCTCGACTGAAACTGCAACATGCAAACATCAAGGAATCAACAAGTGCATTCCTCCTAGCAAACGCCTCCTGGAAACCTATGACAAAGTAAAGGTTTAAAGCCCAAGACCTATGCTTCCAACTAGATCATCCAACTCATACAACAAGTCTTGCTCCCCTGCACAGCGGCAGCCTGGCTGCTGCCACCATCATGGTGCCAAGATCGCCCCTTCCCTCTCCGAGCAAAGCTAAGCTTTTGGCATGACGCCGGCCGATCCTGAGCATGTGCCTGGTGACCTTCGAGGAAGCGCATCCAACAAGGCTGTGTTAGCCTATTCCCAAGCGCAGTCCAACTCCAAAAAGGCTAACACAGCCCCAGCCTGCCCATGGCCACACAAGGCTCGTATGGCCAGCTTCATGTACGGGCGAAGTCTGCTGGAGCCTGCAGGATTGCCAGCAGAGTCTGTCAAATGTGACTTGAGTAATGACTGGCTGGCAACAAGAAGTAATCGTCAGCAGGGATACTTTGCATAGTTCGCATCACCGGCGCCCTGCCAGAGTTTCTTGAACAATAGCTGATCCTTGCCTCGACTTCACTCGCGCTAACTCCGCCAAAAAACCTCTGGAAAAGGGAATGCAAGCAGGAGCTTCACAATCATAGGCCAGGAAAGATCAAACGTGCTTGTGATTCTAGTTGTGATTCTGACCCTACCCTCTCATGACACTGATGTACTGACGACGGTTTTGTATGATTTCAGATTGAACCCCAGCGAATGTCAATTACTGGAACATTTCCAAGCAACATGAAACTGCGGCAGCAAACTGGGTGACCGGCTTCACTGCGCTCTGGCAGCCACGCTTTGGATCAGCCAAAGACAGCTGAGGCAAAAGCCAATGCAATCCGGTGATCTTGTGAGCTTCAAGGCTTAAGGACATGTGGGTAGAATTGAATGCACATATGACTTGCTTGACTGTTTTGCTGTTGCCCCTGTCACGCTTAAGATCCAGCTGCCGCTGCATGCTGCGGAAAAATGGAAAAGAGGCTGCTCGACAACTTTGTTGCCAAACAAATCACTCCACACTTCACCTGTCTTCGCCAGCGCTCATCACTGCGGACCTGCTTACGCCTTAGCATCCTCCGCAGCCATGTGCTTGATCAAATCCACAACCCTGCATGAGTAGCCCCACTCGTTGTCATACCAGCACACAACCTTCACGAAGGTGGGGTCGAGCATGATGCCGGCCTTGGCATCGAAGGTGCAGGAGATGGGGCAGGTCTCGAAGTCGGTGGACACAAGCGCCTCATCCGTGTAGCCGAGGAAGCCCTTCATGTCACCCTCAGATCGCTTCTTCATCTCCGCGCAAATCTCCTCATAGGTCGTTTCCTTCTCCAACTCGACCGTAAGGTCGACGACGGAGACGTCGATGGTCGGGACTCGGAGCGCCATGCCGGTGAGCTTGCCCTTCACGTCAGGGATCACCTTCGCCACAGCCTTGGCCGCTCCAGTGGAGGAGGGAATGATGTTGCCAGGGCCAGCGCGACCACCACGCCAGTCCTTCTTGGAGGTGCCGTCCACGGTGGGCTGGGAAGCGGTCATGGCATGGCAAGTGGTCATCAGGCCTCGCTTGATGCCCCACTTTTCGTTCAGCACACGCACAGCAGGTGCAAGGCCGTTGGTGGTGCAAGAGGCACAGGACACGCACTCCATGGAGGGGTCATAGGTGTCCTGGTTCACGCCCATGACGATGGTGTGAGAGTCATCCTTGGCGGGGGCAGAGAAGATCACCTTCTTGGCGCCAGCCTTCAGGTGACCCTGAACCTTGTCGGTGGTCAGGAACACACCCGTGGACTCGCAAACGTACTCGGCACCATGCTCACCGAAGGGGATCTCTGCAGGGTCACGGGTGTGGGACAGCGCAATCTTCTGGCCGTCCACCACCAAGGAGTCCCCATCCACCTCCACAGTGCCATCATACTTGCCATGGATGGTGTCATATTTCCTGGAGTCGGAACATCTGCAAACAAGAGCAAAAGGCCGGTGCGGCAAAAACGGTACCATAACGCTCCTGACAAATCAAAACAGCTAAAGCTGCTCAGTCAAATAAGGATCATCATATAAGCAAGGTAATCGGCATCGTAACTGGCGTTGATCAGCTTCAGCTCTGTCTCGGGGTCCTTCATGGCAATGCGCGCCACCTGACGCCCAATGCGGCCGAAGCCGTTGATGCCCACGCCCACTGCCTGCATAGAAGTTCGGTTCTTGCCCGCGCGCTTGCCAGCCACGCCAGCCGCAGCCAGGCCTGCAATGGCACCCATGCCTGCCATGGCTCCCATTCCTGAGCTGGAGGACTGCGAGGCCTGCGAGTAGCCCGAAGCACGGAGCCCAGCCTTGGCCTTTTGCACCACAGGCCCAGGTGCCACGAAGGCAGTCGTGAGAGCTGTGCCAGCCACTGCACCGCCAAACAGCAGGGCCGCATTCTCCATGGCGGAAGGCATCTTGCGAGAGCGAGGGCGGACAAGTTTCAAAACTGGATGGCCAAAAAATGCTGGAAGGCGAATAAATGAAACCAAATTCAGTTGTTTTCAAATCAGTCGCACACTAGCACATCACCGTTTGTAAACAAATAGTTTTCCTTGTCAGCAACCAAACAATCAAGCAGCAATCAAGAAACAAAGCCAAGCAAGCCAAGCACGCAAGCTAATGAAGCAACAAGTTCGCAGACAAGCAAACCATGCAAACAAGAAAACCAAGCCCAGCCAGGCCAAAGATCCTTCAATCATGCGTGTGTGCATCAAAGATTGCAACATACAAACTAACAAAAGTTCTGTTAGCAAGGAAAACTGTTCACTCTTGCCACATCGAAACTGAGACCAATATTTGAACTAGACCCATGTTATGCCGAAAGCGTGTGCAAAGGTGATGATGAAGAGTTCACAAACGACCACGCAAAGCACTTTTCACACCACACAACAGCGGCTGCCCGAACGAGAACTAGATGATTGGCGACTAACCATCATCAACAGACAAGGGCAAGACCAAGAACAACTACAAGAGGACCCAAAACAACTCTCCAAGCAAGAACTACAACGAAGACAAGAAGGTGACAACTGGACTGGAGAAACTAGATTCAGAAGAAAGATAACACCTACACACAGAGCAACATCAAAGACCGCACCAACACAACCAAAGGAGACAACACACAGACCACTCACAGCACAGGAAAACAACCAAGACTACTGGAAAAGACAAGGTGGATAAGGCAGTGCACATTACTTAGAACTACACTATTTACTCCAACAGATGGACCAGGACATCCACCAATTAGCACACTTGAACCTCAGAACTACAACACTCGCAACAACTTTCAAAGTTTCACAACGCAAAAACGACTGGACAGTCAACGCAGCACTACCGTTTCAATGGAAAGGAACAACAAGGTTCACCATGAAGAAAGACTACGAGTACATCCAGGAGGAAGAACACGATGAGGAACAACAACACGAGCATCACGAAGCACACAGAGCAAGAGGACTACGACAAGCACAACCAACCAAACAACAAATAGCAGAACACAACTTGACACACCTACCATACAGAAACTGGTGCCCAATTTGCGCGCAAGGCACGCCAAGACAACTACAAGAAACAACAATCACGACAACCTGTCATTCAAGTAGACTTCGCCTGCATCAAAACCACAACAAGACCCAAAGACCATACCAGTCTTAACAGCAGATGATACTACACAACTGTGTGTGGCGGAAATGGTCCCGGACAAACCATCAATGATGGACTACATGGTCAACAACCTACAAGCACTCATCTTTGAGCGCGGAAGAAAAGAAGGCATACTATAAAGGCTACAGCAGCCAAAGTTGGCTCAATGACTGTTTGAGCTCGAGTCAAGGAAGCGTTGAGCGACTACATCGAACACTCCTTGGACAGGTACGCGTTGTCAATGTACAAGTTGAAAGCAACTACAGCATGACAATGTCCACGAAGCACTGTCTACTACCTTGGAAGTACGACACGCAGCGTGGACGGTAAATCGCTACGTCATCCACTCAGACGGCTACACAAGCTTTGAACGTTGGGGAAGAAAAGCAGACCTACGAATGCAGAAACGCATCTGGCTCGGAAAAGTTTCCGAAACCGGAGAAAACTACGTCGCAACGAAAACAGGCGTACAACAAGCACGAACAGTACGGAGTGTTGCTTTTGTTGCTGCTGCTGCTGCTGCTGGTGTTGTTGTTGCTGCTGCTGCTGCTGCTGTTGTTGTCACTATCATTGACATCATTATTGTTAATATTATTGTCTGTTGCTAACTCTTTTGATATTGTTATTCTCAAACGTATTATTATGACCGTTGTTCCTGTCATTGTCGTTGCTGTTGCTGTTGCTGCTGCTCTTGGTGCTGTTGCTGTTGTTGCTGCAGGTGTCGGCGGTGTTGCTGTTGCTGCTGCTGTTGATGTCGGTATGGCTGTTGAAGCTGTCTTGGCCTATCCCACCACTCTGATGATGGGCCTGGGCTTGGCGATCCAGCGCCGCAACAACCGCGCCGCTACCACCACCACCACCACCACCGCCACCGCCACCGCCACCGCCACCGCCACCGCCACCGCCACCGCCACCGCCACCGCCACCGCCACCGCCACCGCCACCGCCACCGCCACCGCCACCGCCACCGCCACCGCCACCGCCACCGCCACCGCCACCGCCACCGCCACCGCCACCACCACCACCACCACCACCACCACCAACACCAACAACAACAACAACAACAACAACAACAACAACAACAACAACAACAACAACAACAGCAACAGCAATCACAGCAATCACAGCAACACGAGTGAGAACAGCAACAATAGCAGCAACGACAGCAACAGCAGCAGCAACAAAACATTTACGAAGAGTCGCAAGACATGCGCAACAACGGTAACGACAACCAACCCGCCAACTGACCGACCCGCCAACCCACCAACCCAACCCACCAAAAACAAAACAAAACAAAACGAACAAACAAGCAAGCAAGCAAACAAACAAACAAACAAACAAAGAAACAAACCAAGAAACAAAAACAGCTGCAACAACAACAACATCAACAACAGCGGCAACGCCAGCATTGCCATGGCGGCAGCAACGCCAGCGACAGAGCCAGCAGCAGCAGCAGCAGCACCAGCACCAGCAGTGGCAACAACAGGAACAGCAACGACAACGACGATGTTTGCAAATGCTTGCAAACAGTAGGGTCGAGGAGCAATCAAGGGAGCGCACGTCCACTTCGCCTCACGCGCCGCGCTGGCAACGCCAAGCAAGCACGCGCCCCTCCGCCTGCCCAGCAGCTTCTCCGCCTGGTTTTTTGCCAGCTCAAACCAATTTTACACCCCAAGGGCTCGCGCGCCAACAAACACTGAACCACAAAGAAAATGTTCCTGACGACTCCGGCTCCAACTTTCACAGCAAGCCAGGCGCTGCGTCTTCAAAACTGTTCCATGAACATTCTGCCGCCTCACCAAGCGATGTGACTTTTTGGATGGGCTGATCTCGCAAAACTTAGCTCTCCAAGACCCAGTTCTTTTCATTTTAGGAAAGAGGCTTGGGGTGGCAGACCCCAACACCCCACCCCCGTCGCAAACCAGTCAACCTCCGCAAAGGATGAAAGAATGACAGCTTCACCCTCTCTAGCTCCGGAAACAAACGGGTTCCTGCAGCGTTAAAGGCGATTGTAGCTGGACCTTTCTTGTCGGGAACACACGGCCACCGAAAACGGCTTCAAAAATCTAATCCCACTGGCAAAAACGGTCAAACCCCTTTCAAAGGGCGGAGGAGCCGCAAAAGAGCGCGTCGCCTCACACCTTTGCAAACCATGGTTCAAC